TATTCAATTGAGAAAAATCTACAAAAACTCAACCAACAAACATTTTTTGTCGCAAAACTAATTATATGCTCGGTAAAAACTAAAAAGTCATGGAAACAGAACTTTGATGGTCTAGCTAAATGACATCTTGTGTTAGCATGATGTCACATCTACGAGAGCATTGCTTTAATGAGTTATTATGAAGCTCATAAAATAATTTGTGGTGAAAGACTACACGCTATTGTAGTCTCGTATAGGGGTGTACACCGGTCCAAAACCGGACCGGACCTGTTTGGACCGGGGACCTGAATTGGGTAATTATGAGGATCGGGGACCGGACCTGAATTAACAGGTCCGGTTCCGGGCTAGACCTGAAAAATCAGGTCCGGTCCAGGTTTGGACCTGAATTGACCTGTTTTGTGATTTTTTTCGTTTTTTTTTTATTTTTTTTAATAAAAAACCTGTTGGGCCTGTATATGGACCTGCGTATGGACCTGTTTTGTGATTTTTAGACCTGTTGCATAATTTAATAATTACATACAAACCAAAATTATTAATCACAAAAGTACAAAACTACATAAAGTCTATAAAAGTATAAAGTCCCAATTCTCAAACACCAAAAATACAAATGAGTCCACCGAAAGTACAAATGAGTCCACGAAAACTCATAACATTACATAAATTCTCTTAAGTCTCAAGTACTAGAAATACATAAATTCTCCAACGAGTTGTTTTCCCTTTGATCGCGTGATTCACACTAATGAGTCCACGAAAACAACTTCATCGTCTACATCGTTAGATTCACCACGTTGCACCTCTAAATAAAATACAATATAGAATATGTTAAAATATATTAATGATTGATAACAATGAAATAATAAATTTGGTGTAACAAAATTTCAAGTACATAAAATTATTACTACCTTTCTCTATTTCCTCTAACTCTTTCAAAGTTTCTTCCACATCAACAATTGGCACTTCCTTAGCTCTAAGCCAATCTTGTGTGCAAAGTAGCGCTTGAACCATCTTCAATACAAAAATATTACACAAATATGTATAAACAAAGTCATATTAAGATATAAACAAACTTGATTTTATAAAATAAAAAGATAACGATGCATTACCTTAGGAGTTAAAGAACTCCGAAATGGATCTAGAGTACGACCTCCCGTACTAAAAGCAGATTCCGATGCAACGGTCGATAATGGGATGGCTAGTATGTCACGTGCCATGCGATTAAGAATCACATAACGCTGACCATTCTTACCCCACCATGTCAATGCATCTTGTTCTTCCTCCTCAGGCCCTAATTGATCATTTAAGTACCTATCCAACTCACTTATCGCATACCCACTTGTCCCCTTCAATCATTTTGCTCTTTCTTTTAGTTTCCTCACATAATCGGAACCCACTCCTTTACTATTATCAATATCCATTGACATATTATCTCCACAATCTGGAATATTAGAAGTAGCATACATTTTTCTATATTCCTCAAATAAAGAGTAAGCGAACTCCTTCACATCATTAGCAAGTTTTGTACCCTTTTCCGGTCCATGCATGTCTGTTAGTGTCAATTCAACAATGATCATCTTAGAGTGAGGGTCGAGAAGAAGAGCAACATAAATGAATTTATTCATCTTATCCACATCCCCCCAATACTTATCAAACTTTTTTTTCATTGCAATGGCCATAGCTTGAAAATTCAAGTCCTCACTTTGTTCCCAATTATTCAACATATCATACATAGAAGCAATTTCTCCTAAACCTTTATTAGCTGTCACATAATGGGAACCAGAAATTCGTTTAGTCAACAGATAAAACCCCTCTAGAAACAAAACTAACCTCTCCACTTTTTCCCAATCTTCGGGTTTGGGAGGCCTTTCATTGTCATTCAAATCCTCTCCATCAGGAAGAGATAACCCACTAAAAACACGTCGAAACTTCAAAGCCGTTTCCAACATTATGTATGTGGAGTTCCAACGAGTGGGGACATCAAAGGATAAAGAAGATTTTGAATCTATGTTTGCTTTTTGCACAAGATCTTTGAATCTAAGTATTCTTGCAGGGGAGTTCTTAACATATTTCACAGCATTTCTAACTCTATCAATGCACACACCATGTTCTTTAATACCATCCCACACAATTAAATTAATGATATGAGCAATGCATCTAACATGAAGATTTTTTCCATCATTAATACATCCTGTTCTTCTAACCATTCTACTCAAGTGTGCACAAGCAACATCATTTGAAGAAGCATTATCAACAGTGACAGTAAAAAGTTTATCATCAATACCCCAATACTCTAAACATGCCTCAACTGCTTTTCCAATAGCCTCTCCTTTATGACTAGAAATTGGACAAAAATTTATGATCTTTTTATTTAATTTCCAGTCATTATCAATGAAATGAGCTGTAAGACACATATAATTAATTCTTTGTATTGAAGTCCAGGTATCAATGGTCACAGAAATTCTTTGACATGTCTTAAACATTTCTCTCAATTTCTCTTTTTCACTATAATACAACTTTAAACAATCACGAGCAATGGTAACACGAGATGGAATGTGAAATCGTGGACATGCAACTTGCACAAAGTGCCTAAAACCGGGTTTTTCCACATGCTTAAATGGTAACTCATCAACAATAATCATGTGAACCAATGCCTCTCTAACATCATTCAAGTTAATAATCCTACTCCCACACTTTAATTCACCACTCTCATGTTCTTGATCAAAATACAATTTAGTTTGCTTTTCTTTGCCCTTTTCTTTTTCTATATTAATAGGATTACCGAGACATGATTCTGCATGATTTTTAACATTTTTGGAACCATTAAGATTACCATCAGCAGCAAAAGTTTTAGGACAAAACTTACATTCAGCTCGTAGTTTTCCATTCTCGACGTACTCTAAGTAATATTTCCAATACTCAGCTTTCCTCTTACTTTTTCTGTTCCATATATACTCCCGCCCCGCTTTTAGCTTCTTATCAGGAGGCAAAGTAGATTGCAATTCTTCCATATCCTTTTCAGAAAGTGGCTGTGACGTTTGTTCAGAAAAAGAAGCAGACCGTTTGGATTGAGAGCTCTCCATCTACAATATAATTATAGACAATATAAGTAATTTTAAAGTAACAATTATATACACATACCATTTTATAAAAAAAATTAAGAGCAACTTACATTGCAAGAATAAGAATCCGTGGTTCCTCCACTCCCTTGTTAGCCCTAGGCAAGTCTGCAAGAATAAGAACAAGAATAAGAACCCCTGAACTGCATACAAGTATACAACTATGTCTTATGATCTTATCAATTCTAAACAAGTTAGCCAACTCAAATCTGAATTCTGAACTGCATACAACCATGTCTTATCAATTTTGATACAAGTTAGCCAACTTATTTAATCATCTGAGTCTCTTACAAATCATGCACTACGTTTATTTATTTATTTATTTAAATTTGGCCTAACAGAGATTCAAAGGCTGTGAATCTGTGATAGTGTGATCAATTCTAAAACCTAAACCCTAAACTCAAAAAAAACCAAAAAAAAAAACATAAATTCGAAGATAAACCATACTTGTTATCAATTCTAAACATTAAACCCTAAAACCCTAAACTTTAAACTAAAAAAAACCAAAAAAAAAACATAAATTCGAAAGAAATTCGAAAATAAACCAAAAAAGAAAAACATAAATTCGAAAACATTGAAGTAAAAAAAAGAAATTCAACATGCAAACATCAAATAATCATTATAAGCAATTGAAACATGAATAAACATATAAATTCTAACACTTAATTCATTATTTCGAATACAAAATACCCAAACATAATTAGATAATTTAGATTTACATTAAAAAAAAAAAATAACTTACCGGAGAAATGGAAAATCGCGCAGTAGCTGTCTCATGCGGTGGCCGGTGGGCGCCTGGGCTTCGCCTGAGAGAGTGAGGAAGGCAGGAGGTGTCGGCGGTGGGCGTTGCCGCGTTGGGCTGAGACTGGAGACAGTGAGCGTGAGGGAGAGGGGGAGACAGCCAGGGAGTTTGGAGATTGGAGTCTTGGAGAATGGAGATAGTCATATAGCTGTTTGTTAGGGTTAGAATGAAATGAAAGAGAATCGAAGCGTCACTCAAGCAGCTTGCAACGTTATTTTGATTTTTGATTTATTTTTATTTTTTTTTTAAAAAAAAAAAATACAAATTTTTCGGGTTTCAGGTCCGGACCTGAAAACCCAGGGTTTAGACCGGGTCCGGACCGGAACCGGGAACCTTGATTTTTAGGACCGGGACCGAACCTGAATCAATAGATCTGGGTCAGGTCCGGTCCGGATCAGGTCGGTTCAGGTCCGGTTTCAGGTCCGATCCAGTTTTTGTACACCCCTAGTCTCGTAAACACTCATCGGTCATCCAATCATCAATCACAAGTGGCTAGATATTATAGAGTTATAGACAAGATCTAGATCGAAATATTAATTAATGTTGGGCCCAAGCCCAACTATTACAATATTAGTAATTAAATACAAAGTTAGGCCTTCTAAAAATTCTAATCAAAGAGAGAATAAATTTTTAGTTCCTATTCCTAATTCTTACTTACCTTTTCATTTTTTTAAAACTCTTAAAAAAAAAGCCCTCCAAATTTGTATGAATTGCAATATTGCATAGACATCAATACTTCGCATAGACCATTTAGAATAATTTGTTACTTTTATAATCTCAATCTTCACTAATTCGAGTAAGGATATATATTTGATTACGAGCACAAATTAAACTATTGTTGTTTTAAGATATGCATCAATCATTTTTGAACAATTTATAACTGTATTAACCACTATTAATTTCAGAAGGAGAGAACACAAGCAACTTATAAGCTCATGAATTCATGATGATTAAATTTTCGAAATTGAGATGATTGGCAATGCAACTTGAATGATGCATAAAATCCAAGAGTTTAGGATCCATAAACTCGGAGAAAAAATCTAGATCGAGGTAAACTCAAAAACATGTCCAAGATTACCATTCACCTATCAATTATCATCCACCACGAGACCAAAATTCATGGTAGCAAACTACCAGTATGTTTTTGTGGTGGTCCACAGATTTAAAGTTTCATAAGATAATAAAGAAAAAATAAATTGCAGGCATGCTAGCAAAAATAGTATCAAAATTTCAGTTGATCACAAAGCATGCATATATTTAGAAGTGCTTCTATGGTCCTTACCATCATTATTTTCCTAGGGGTAACATAAATTGTTAAAGCCCTAGATTTATAGTTGGTTCTTTGTCACATAACATTAGTCTTTGGTCTGTTTTAGGCACGATAATGGGTCGCGTGTTGGTGGTTGTGGTGGTGGTAGTGGTGGCGGTGTTGAGGGCCGGTTTTTGTGAAGGTAAGTGTGATATAGAGGGAATATTTAACTTTGGGGATTCGAATACTGATACTGGAGGTTTCTTTGCTGCATTTCCATCTCAAAGAGGGCCTTCTGGGATGACTTATTTCAAGAAACCTGTTGGTAGAGCTTCTGATGGAAGGGTCATTGTTGACTTCTTAGGTAAGTTCACTAGATTTGTTTTAATATAAATGTGGACTTAAATTTGGCGACTTCATGTTGTAAAAGGTATCTGAGAAATCTAAAGCTTAAGGTGTGAGTGTAACTATTTTTAGGTACATCCGAGTGTATAATAGACATGTTTTCTGTATGTTTTTTTTTTTTCAGCACAAGCTATCGGGATACCATTTATAAGCCCGTACTTGAAGTCAATTGGAGCTGATTACAGACATGGTGCAAACTTTGCAACAGCGGCCTCTACAGTAAGACTGCCAAACACTTCCTTGTTTGTCACTGGTGTCAGCCCTTTCTCTTTGGCCATTCAGCTTAACCAAATGAAGGAGTTACAATCCAGAGTTCTTGAAATTTCCCACTCTTCTTCCACTAATGGTAGGAATATTATTATTTGACACTTTCTCATGACTCATTATATTTCTTTTTTCCCAATATAAATAATCATAGTGTACACTTAAATATGTACTACAAATAAGTTTAAAAAGGAACAAAGGGAGTAACAACATTTGATATTAATGTATTAGTAGAATTTCACGTATTGTATGTTGTATTGAGAGCTAATTAAAACTTTTATGCTAGTATCAACCCCTCTTCCTTCAAAAAGCATATTTAGCAAAGCAGTCTACACATTCTATATTGGCCAAAATGACTTCACTGGAAATTTAGCAAACCTTGGTATTGGTGGAGTGAAGCAGTTTTTACCTCAAGTTATTTCCCAGATTGTTTATACTATCAAGGTCAGTCCATTATCTAATCTTTTTTTGGGTTTAAGGCCCAAAACAGCAATTTGTTATTGGGCCATAGCATCATGCTCGATTATCAGGACTTAGGCCCAAATACAAAGCCCAATTACTACTTATTTGAGATTTAACTCTTTAATTATATGAAATGAAAATTCAGGAACTATATGGTATAGGAGGAAGAACATTTTGGGTGCTTAATCTAGCACCTATAGGTTGTTACCCAGCATTCTTGGTGGAGCTCCCACACAAAAGCTCGGATATCGACGAATTCGGTTGCATGATCTCCTACAATAATGCTGTGAAAGATTACAATGACATGCTCAAGAATGCAATCCAACAAACCAGAGGAGTTCTCCCTAATGCTTCCATTATCTATGTGGATACTCACTCTGTATTGCTTGACCTCTTCCAACACCCTACAACTTATGGTATTACTCAATTATGCTATGTTAAGTTATTATGATTTAATTATTTCCAACTTAACTCAAAAAGTGATTAGAGAGATATTATGGATTAAAATGATTAATTAAATCATTACTCTATGTATTATGACTAGGTGTCATGACAAGTCATATTATGATGGCTAAGTAGATAATGAGTTAGATTATGAATTGTGATGATTAAGGCAGCTAGCAATGATCAGTATATAATTAAATATTGAGGAATATAACCTATGATAAGTTCATGGGAATAAAGTAAGCTTGCATCAGCTAAAATGGCATTAATCTGGTTGATCTTAATCATGAGCATGACTTCATAACTACCAAATATATAATCACCTGTCTTTTTTAAGAATCAAACAATATTGATCAATCATTTAGGATATATATGATGTTATAGACAGGTTCGATCTCTCAGGTACGGCTTCTAAGACACACTTTACTAAGTAAACTAGCTATTAATCTAACTTTCACCTAATTCACCTTGATGTAACTACTTTACAAATTTACTGATACTCTGTATATTAATATATATCACTTTCTAAGAAATGCTTGTAAATGTTTAATCATTATAATCACATTATTAATCAAGTAGCTATTCTTAATCAAACTACTTTTAGATAACCCTACCTTGAGAGAGAAAAAAAAAAGGAGCTTTTCGTTTTCTTTTTTACTTTGAACTTTGGTTAATTAAATAAATAAATATTAATATATTTGTCATGTGTAACAGGCCTAAAGTATGGAACTAAAGCATGTTGTGGTCAAGGGGGTGGACCTTACAATTTCAACCCTCAGGTATTTTGTGGGAACACCAAACTCATAAATGGAAGCACATTAACAGCAACAGCTTGTGAAGATCCTAGCAAGTATGTAAGTTGGGATGGCATACATGCTACTGAAGTCGCGAATAAGCTTGTCACCTTATCTATTCTTAATGGCTCTATATTCGATCCTCCTTTCCCTCTAAATCGTGTTTGTGACCTCCACCCTATTGGATAAATTGCATAAGCTAAATGGCCGCTTCTTAGATTAGTATTAGTAGTAGTACTAGTTATGTTTTGGCCAGATAAATTGGTGCATAGCATCAAATTGAATTATCAATAATGATGAATTTGGGTAGTACAAATAATCTTTCCAAGATATGTCCTTGAAAGTTGTTGATGGATTTAAATATTTATTGTCAACAAGACTAGTTTATTTCACCATAATTATTCAAAGTCATCATAGACTAAGTGGACAATAATAATATGCTTGTCTCCTTTTGAAATTTCCAGATAACTTCTTTGGTGCATATGCTGTAAATGATGGGTGTATTCCACCAAACTGATTATTTTTGTTTTTGCTAATTAAGCTGCCGGTTTCGGTTCGATTAATATACTTATCATGAACATAATGAATGTACATTGTTAAAGAATCTAATCTCTTTTCATATTGCAAGAAGATCAAGGGAATTTCACAAGCCAAGTATAACAGTAATCAGCAAATTTAGGCAAAATTAACCCTCTTTTTAATACATATGAACAATTTACAGTTTTCCATGCTAAAAAAATTGTACATGTATTAAAACTACACTAACATATAGAAGAAACCAATATAATAAAAATGAAACTTAAACTTACTATTATCAATCTTAAGGAGCAAAGTCATTTTCAAGGACTGCTTGAGTTCTAGAAACCGGGGCCAAAGGAAACTTACTATTGCCAATCCATTTTGTATTAAGAGACTCACTCTTCTCCGATGTTCTTTCCATACTTTGAATCTTTCGCGAACTATATGTTTTGTAACCAAGTACTATACACGAAGCTAACAACATTAAACCAACTAGTCCACCTGTGAATCCAACCACCCACCACACCCACATCGCGATGATTTTCTTCCTTTCTCTTCTTTTGTGGCCTAGAGAGGATGGGAACAATGGCGAACCTCTAGGTAAAGGCGGAGATGGAGGTGAAGGTGATATCGAGTCATTAACTTTAGGCATTGCTATAGCAAAATTCCCTACACCTTGTGACAAACAAACATTAGGCCTTAACATATCTCCCAACTCGACCAAACCACTCAATGGATCAAATCTAACACACTTTTTAAGCTTATTTTTTACATCATCACTATTATTTCTCCCTTGTAATAAAACTTCCCCTTGAGAAAACTTCACCTTAATTGACTCCCCTACTAATAAGGTGATATTAAGCCTTTTCGAGCTCGTTCCTTCACTAGAATCCGAGGCATTATACACCGCGAATCCAATAACTTTTGTAATAAATGTATATCCAGGTAATTCATAGTATTGAGATGATAAATTCCCCAAGTTTTCATACATGATTTCCAATCTTTTCACATAAGGTGTAGTGGTTATTTTTGGTGGTATATCAAAATTACTTGAATTTACACCTTTACTCCATAAAGCACTTCTCCTTAACCTTAATAATGAGACTTTCATATCAGAAAAATTAGCAGGAAGTGAAATGTTGTACAGAACACCTGTGTGAGGCTTTTTGGGTAATGATTTTGCGGAGTAATTATAAAGATAATCATCTAAATAAGTAGGATTATCATCACTAATGTGTGTAATATTGTTTATGGATAAAGAGAATGAAGGAAAAAATGATAAATTTAAGATCATGATCACCCATATAGTAGAGATTGCATACCAGTTTATGTTGAAATTAGCCCACATTGCTTATGATCTTACATTATGATTAATTACTCCATAATTAATCTAAAATGATCATAAAGTTTCAATCTTTTTCAGAAAATCCTCTGATTTCTTTGAATAAAGATGAAAAAATATTGGATTTTTGATGTTTTATGATCTGAATCAGAAAAAAGATGAGAACTTTGAGAAGTGAGATTTATAATGATACAAACATTAAGACTTTTTATTAGTGAAAATAAGATGAAAATGGAAATTTATATGCTTGAAAAAAGGAAAAAGGGAATGGTTGATGAAAAATGTGATAATTAAGGAAATAAAAATGGAAGTAAAATGACACTAATAAGTATAATTACGTAGAAGAAGGGCCATGCTAGACTGTCAGCACCAGAGAAGAAAAAGGGGTGCTTTTTGAGTTGTTCAAAATAAAGGTTTTGGTTTTTATTTCTTGACACTTAGTCAGCGAAGAATACGGACGTAATTTACCAACTAAATAACATTTTTTTCAATAAAAATATGATAATGGTTTTGTTTTGGGTGTTTATAGTAGTTTATATAAATGGATTTGTATAAGTAGGTTGGTACATTTTATAAGTTTGTTTGGTAGATGATGAGGAATAAGAGAATATTGATGATGTACTAATTTTAGCTTTAATCATTGGTGGATGTGTTAGCATTTTGGACTGATAGTTTATTAGTGCTACGTATTGGGTCTACAAACTACATATGCACGTTTGAGTGGACAACTCCAAATACATTTTTAAGAGGCATTATGATATTATGGAATATGGATGTATGAATGTGATAAAGATCAGCGTATTTACTACCTTCGTTAACTATTATTTGCAACAAAGGAATATTTTATATCTCATAAATAATACCCCTTTGTTGCAAATAATAGTTACCGGAGGTAGTAATTTGCATTGGATTATAATGATATTTTTCAATATGTCGATATTTAAATCAAGTGATGGGTAGTATAAAGAATATTTTACCAGAAGTATGTAGTTTGTTATTTGGATACCCATGACCATTTTTAATGCTCAGCCTCTTTGTAGATAGCAGATTTTAACATTGCAATCCTAGTTCCTATTCAAACTCTTGTCAATGTTTTTTTTATTTATTTTTTTTTATTTTTTATATATATATATATATATATATATATATATTGGAATTTTGACACGTTCTTCTATTTTATATTTTGTATCCAATTCTATTAAAAAAATAATAAAATACTCCAATTTATAGTGGGACAATTCAAAATTATTGACATATGAAATTTAATAAAACTATTGCAATGTTATTTTGATATAAAATTACCATAATATTTTCCCTCAAAAAAAAATTACCATAATATAATTTAAGTATACTTCAATCATCCATCATTTGATATGCAATTTAGAGCTTGATAACCATGTTATATAAAAACTTGAATCTTATATTAATTAGATTTTAGAGCTTAATAACCATGGTGATAGAGGAGATAGGTTTAGTACACACATGGGGCTAAAGGTTGTTTTAATGAGAGTTGTTTGAGCCAAAAAGAGAGATTTGACCAAGTACAAACCTCATGTGAAAGTCTTCATTAAGAATGGATTGAAACATTAGTGTGAGTCGAAAAATTGATTGTAAGAGCGTTTTAGAAAAGAGGTTTGTAATGTTGTAAACTATAGTAGTGTAGTATTTTACGGGGTCAATTTACTACCTTTACTTTCAAAGATTCTTAAAAATTTATGTAGTAGTATTCTGATGTTAGTTCTTATTAGCAGATTTACACAAACAACTAATACAACTAGATAGCCAAACCAAATAATTAGCTACCAACTAATACAAACAACACTTAACAATTATAACAATATTGATGTGTTGAAGGTGCTACTGTGCTAGCTAATTAACCTAATTTAGTTGGTTAAAGACTTTTAAAGTGTATTGAAATCAAATCTTGTCTACATCATTATCCCGATGTCAGATATTGTCAACTTAATCTATAGTACTGTACAATACAAACCCACAAAACCATTTAGCTAAAAATTTTATGTTTTGGAATGTTGTTTAAAAACTTTTAAGAAAGTAATTAAATTAAATCAAGTGAAGGAGAAGTCAAACGTGGATTTTGAGATAGGGATTACCCAATCAGGAGCCCTCATCACTCCACGTGTCACCCAACAAAATCACTTTCTTCAATAAACAAAAAATAAATAAAAATCTCATGGATATGCTACGAATGGTGGAAAACCAAACTGAACAAAACCCAAATTTCAGCAAATTCAACAATTTTCTCTCACATTTTCAAGCACCCACCTTTTATATTTTCTGGAGAGAGAAAATTAGCCTGAAAAAGGCCTTATTTTGGGTGAAGGAGGTTAAACAATGGCAGCAGCAGCTTATGCAGGAACTTCATCTTCAATGGCGGCTGCAACTACTGGGTTGCTTCCACGTGTCCACGCTAACCACTCTTCCCGCTTTTTAGCGTTGCCTTATCTTCCTCCTCGTTCCTCTACTTCATCTTTGAGGATCTTCTCCAACAATTTGTCTGGTATTTTTCTTTGCGGCATTTCGTCGAACACCTGGTCTGTCTTGTGCAAGTTTTGCCTTTTTGACTCATGTTGTTTTTGTATTAATTAATTTTGGTTTGATAATTAGTGTATAATTATAAGGGTAGTCTGATTGAATGAGTTGAATTTCAAAGTCATTGTCTTTGAACTACAAATGTTGACTGTTAAGATAGTTACTAATAGTATAACAATGTAATTTGCAATTTGCAACCCTGAAAGGATAAGAATTGAGCGGTTTTGTCGTGTTTCTTCTTATATTCCTGTGAATTAACTATATTTTTTCAGAATTAATCGTAGAATTATTTGTGGGGATTGAGTGATAAGGAAAGCTTGGCAATTTGTAATAATTTCTTAGACTTGCCTTAGTTTTGAGGACTTTAAAAATCCCATATTATTGATCTATTGAAGTGTTCTTAATCATTTAAAGGTAGAAGAAACTTATCATATTGTTTTTTGTGGAAATTGGTACAAGACCACAAATGAGTTGTAAGTTTGTAACCTAATTTTATCCCCAAGTAAAGAGATTCAAAGCTATAAAAGAACTTCATGTTAGCTTAGCTGGGATTCTAATGGGGAATCTCAATTCTGGTCAAAGGGTGTGCCCGTAGGGCTTTCCTTCATAAATAGAAGGGTTGGGTCCTTGCATCCTTATGCGATGGTGCGTGAAGCAAAAAGGACAGACTAGTTCAAATATGAAGGAATTGTAGTTGAGGTTACCTATTAATTGTCCATTGCTGAGAAGATCTAAAATTAGCCTCTTAGCCAAGCCTAATTTGTTGAAAATGGTAGCGGATGCAATTTTTACGAACAATTGTAAATGTCTTAGTTATTATGCTGCCATTACCATTTGCAAGCTATAGGTGTTTAATTATGTGTGGTTTTATCTCTAGCCTGACGGTGCCATGAATTTTTTTGTGACATAAAAATTGTAAATTATAGTGATGAACTCAAGGTGAGGACCTATAAACATACTCTGCATGAATTAATATTTATCAACTAATACTTAATGTGATGGGTGAGGATATATGAATATGTGTACGGAGTATTAATATGTGGCTAAGAATCAGGAAAATGGTAAATATTCACGCATTCTGGTGCAAGTGTATTGCCTCCAATGTGGGCTTTATCTGGATTATTTTGCTTGTTAATTTGTTATTGTCTTTCCACTGTCTACTTATTAGTGTCCGAGTTCCTTAGTTCTTGTAGTTGTGCACTGTGTATTTCCTGAATCGGAATGTCTAGCAATTGATTTTGTGTCGGGAATGTTGATACTTACATGACCCTTTTTGTATGTCTGAGAAATCTCCTTTGCTTGCTTTTTCTAAAAATACTTTAATGCATCTATAGGACTATTGCATACCTTACCTATCAGCTTTCCTTATTCCTGTAATTCACTAATTCTAATGCAATGTTGGTTAAATTCACTTTTAAGCTGTACTTACACTCCTTAATTTATCTATAGAGTTCCCTTGGACATTGTCTTGGGGACTGAGTGAGGACTCTAAGGTCAAATTGAACTAGTGATATTTATATTGGACAGTTTTCTAAAATTTGAACCTTTTTGTTAGACGTGTTTCTACATTCTTTGGTCGTGGTTGTAAAATGTTTGAATTCTGGCAGTCTGGCTTTTTTCGCTGCTTCCTTGCATAGCTGGTACTGAGCCAGTTTTTCTTTTTTAATTTCTGCAGAGTCAAGAAGGTTTTCTTCCCTTCAGGTCAAGGCTTCCTCAACAGAAGATACTTCAGTCGATAGCTCTGAACTAATTAGTGACCTGAAAGAGAAGGTAAGTGTGACTAATGACCTCACATGAAATGCCCACTGCTAGTGTTTTGTCATGGCCTAATTTTTTATTTAACTTCTGCAGTGGGATAAACTTGAAAATAAGTCCACAGTAATTATATATGGTGGTGGGGCATTAGTGGCAGTTTGGATATCTTCCATTCTTGTTGGTGCTATCAACTCTGTTCCTCTGGTATGTGATCTTTTCTGTTCTACTATACCCCTTCTTGGATCTGTCTTCTTGAAATCTAATTACATTTTGCAGTATTTGAATTGTGTCAAACATAAAAATCCTTTCCGAATATATATATCTCCAACAGTATTCTCCCTCTAGTAGTATCTGAATTATATTGTACCCTTCCTATTTGACGAACCAAAAAGAAAAATCCCATTTTTTTATAAGTTTTAAGAGTGATTGATTTAGTGTGCCTCGAAGTTCTTGCTACGTTTCTTTGGTGCTTCCTCTTGAGTTGGCTGAACTCTTGCCATGTATTTACCTAGTTACTGATCCAGCTGATATATACCAAAGAAAAATTCAGGTCTTTCTTTCTTTTTTCTTTTTATTTTTTTATTTAGCCAATATGAGGTGCTCTGTGAATAGACGGTAACTCGCTAAGTTTATTTTTGGGTTTTATTAAGATGAATGAATAGGTTCATTTGAAGAACAAATTTGACAGATATTTTCTGATAATTAGCTTTTTTGAAAGTATGTTTGATCCATAATTTATATGTTTGATATCATCAGCTTCCTAAGATCATGGAGTTGGTTGGGCTCGGATACACTGGATGGTTTGTTTACCGATACCTTCTTTTCAAGGTAATGTTCCTGTTTATTATTTTCTGTTCAGTGAATTTGAGCTGCTTAGTTTTGTTATCTTTCTGAACTGATTGAAAGCAATTCTCCTATATTTGTATGTCCAATGTTCGGCTTCAACCCCGGTACCCTTCTTTCTCTGTTCAGCTAAAGAAAAATAAATAAAGCCTAATGCCCTACTATCTTTAGTTAACATCATCTCATCTGAACCTTATCCCTTGCTCTTGCTTTTCTCGCACTTGCTTAGTTAATGCAAAGACCTTGTGCTACCCTTCTACTGATATTTGATCTCTTGTGCTACTAAACCTGTTGGTTGTATATTGGTGCATATCTTTCTTATAATTATTTTCTACTAAGCCTATAAGAAACAGAGGAGGTCTTTAGGATGATAAAGTCTGCTATTCAGTTTTTTATTTGTGTCAAAAGTCGTTTGATGATTTTACTCACAGCTTCATCTTTATGCTAAAAGCTAAATGACACTGACCTTTTCTTGTCTTGGTTCAGTCTAGTAGAAAGGAACTAGCAGAAGACATCGAATCATTGAAGAAGAAAATTGCTGGAACGGAGTAGAGTTACACTTAGCTACATCTGACTAGCAATATTGCAAATTTGGTTCTTATCCATGTTGTATTATAGGCCATAGAGCTACTATGTATTCCAATTGCTTTGTGTCTCCAGTTTTAGTATTGGAATGTTGATATGGATAAATATACATGCTATTTATATAATTCAAGTGGCTTTTTTTTGCTCTACTTATGTTGCCCTCTGGCTTCCACATTGCGAATCTGCGTGGTTATATTTGCACTATTGAGGACAATCGTTGTTGACGACTTGTTAACGCCTGCAAGATAAAGTTCATTTAACTGCTGAATTCCTGGTGCTTTACTAGTTTACTGGTAGATTTGGTGGAGGAAAAAGGCATACTGAACGAGAAATGGTTGTATGGTCGAGTGAGCTAACTTATCAATAATTACTTCTTTCTTT